ATGAAACCATACAACTCTGCATGAAGAGATGTGAATCCCTCCACCAAATCAGAAAAATCAAACAAAAAGTCACCCAAAGCATCTCTAAATAATATACCACTAGAGGCCAAGGAATTGGAGAGAGAACTATCGGTATTGCATTTGATCCAACTCTTAACTGGTGTCAGCCACATAACTTCAACGATTTTAGAAGCTTTTCTAAGATGCAAATTGAGATTGATGCTTTTCATGATTGAAAAGTCCGGCACAGAGTAGTTTGCAGCTTTGTTTGTTATGTTGCCAATGAACTCCACTTCAGTTTGCACTACATTTGGCTCTATACTCATTATAAGTAAAACTTTGCAAAATCACATATATAAATAAAAATATTGAATAATTTAATCTATGCAATGTGAATAAAAAATCGAGTATATTTTATTAAATTACATTTTACCCATAAAATAATTAATTGAAAATATAAAATTAAATTAAATTAAAAGTATTTTAAAAATGTTATTTAATAGGAGAGTTTGTCCCGTTAAGCAACTAAGTTGATAGTTGCAAGAACTTCAAGAACTTTTGATTTGAGAGGGTGTATGTAGAACTCAAATTTTTTCACTTATTTTTAAAGGTTTCAATTTTAGTTACTAAATTAATAGACGAGTAAAAGGATAGCTAAGCAATAGGGCGTAAGCAGAATAGACAAAATCAAACAAATAAAAAATTTAAAACAAATTAAATCGGAAAAAACTAATCTATTTATGTTTTGTAAAAATATTGAATCAAACTAATCAAAATTGAATTTGCTCACTTCGATTCTCGGTTTTCATTTTTAGGAACTATGAAGTGATAAAGCAAATTGATGTGTATAATCATCTCACGTTTATAGTCTATAAATAGTTTGTTCAACATAACACATTTATTTCACTTCGGTTTTTTGTGAAAACAAATATAATTAGGAATATGATTTTGATGAAAACAAATGAAGATCAAAAGAAGGATAAAGATCTCGATCAAAGTTCAAGAAAAAGATCTGCAAACTCTAATATAATTAGGAACCGATTTAAAAGCGTTGTCTAAAGGGAGTGCTTAAGAAAGCGCTTTTAATGTAAAAGCGTTGTCTAAAGTGGACATAAAACAACGCTTTTACATTGAAAAAAAGTGCTGTCTTTATTTTTAACAGCGTTGTTTTAGGCAGCGCTTTCAAGCGCTGTTAAAAGCCAAAAAAAACATTATCTAATATCTTGTTTGGCATAGTGAACTTTTATTTGCCTTTGCATATAGATTATGCTTCAACTTCAAATGCGTAACTCACGTCTCTCTTCCCTAATGGATCATGTTTATGTGCCAATCCAAACACACAAATTCTCAAAACACGTAAAATTAAACCCATAAAATTAAATTAATGTGTTATTTAAGATTTTAATTAATAAACACAATAATTGAAAACATTCAAATATTAAATACAATAGTTATGAAAGTGACCATATTACACATGATTTTATTTTATTTTATTTTATTTTAGAGATATCTTTCCATTAATTTTAATAATTTAAATTTTAAAATTAAATGTACTTTTCCATATTCGGAAATCTATTTATTTTTACGCAAACCTTTTGATATACCATTCCATATACCAAGAGAATTAATTAATATATTTTTAATTTTTTAATAAATTATGACTATTAACAAAATAAAAAAAAATTTAAATAAATAACACAAATAAAATATTACAGAAAATAACTATAAGTTTAATTAGGGACGTAAATAATATATTAATTTAATTATAGTGGAACTTTGATTTTGTTTTTTTAAGTAATTTTATAAGTTTAATTTGATATCTAAATAATAGAATTAGCTTAGTTTAAATTTGTGTTTAATTGTAAAAATATTGTTAGTAAAAATGCAGACAAAGGCCGATTGAAATTTTTTGTAGACCAGAAAAGCACCAAAAATGATTTTGTTATGCAGTAATTTAAAGATGATATTTAGAGATTTTTAAGAAAAATAAAGTTATTTTGATATGTCATTATTTTAAGAAGATTTTTTGAAAAGATTTGGAAGAATTATATATATATATATATATATATATATATATATATATATATATATATATATATATATATATATATATATATATATATATATATATATATATATATATATATATATATATATATATATATATATATATATATATATATATATATATATATATATATATATATATATATATATATATATATATATATATAAAGATCATATTTTAATTTTGTGTATTTTCTATAAATATTTTTATTATATTTTATATCTTATGTGTATTAAGTTAAAATGTGTGACTTATTTTTAGCCCATTTATTATAGTAAATTTATTTATATATATAAAAAATATTGTATTAATTTATTATATAATTTATTATTGTAAATGTAATCCCGAATTAATATATAAAATTAAATTTATATAATATAATTAATTTATAGATAATTTAAAATAATATTCTATTATTATTTTATGAAGATTTGTTGAAAAGATTTGAAAGGATACATATTTATTTTATTTCAAATGGACATAGTACTATGAACATTTGCTATTTCATAAAAAATAAAAATAAATAACAATTTTAATTCATTATAATAAATATATTATTAATATATTTTATTTTTCTATAATTTAAGATTTGTAATAATTTATAATAACTTTTTATTTTTTTAATAATAACTTTTTCTTTTTTTGTGAGCAATCTCTCATGTGTGTTGATTTTCTCAAGAACATAATATTAATTAACTTTGAGGATCTCAGATAGATAAATATAAAAGAATAAATCATTGATGTTAATTTTATATATGTTTTAATAATCTTCATATCGTACTATAGTTTTTTCAATCTTATTAATATACATTACTATATTATTTTATTATTAAGTATTTTTAAATATATTTTTGGGATCTTATTTAGATTTTAAATTTTTTAAGTTGTTTGTGCAATTTTAAAAAAATTATTAATATTTATTTTTAAAATATGTTATTTATGTGTAATATATCTAATCATTAATATTCGTAATTAAATATATAATTACAATGTTGTTTAAATATTTAAAAAAATGAAAATCATATCATATCAACAAATATTTTTATATGATCTTTAATTGTATCATGTTTCTTTTGATTTAGTTGAATTTGTGTTGTAACATAGATTTTGTTGAAATTTTAGGAAGAATTTATGTAATAAAGGTTGTTGTTAGAGTCTAGAATGCTCAAAATTTAGCTAATATTAAAAGACCTATATATGAAAAAGATTTATGTTATACTATAAACACAAATATCTCATTATTCTAACTAATTTCAACTACATAACTCACTTCAAGATACCATAGAATACAAATATTCATTTATAACTGAAATTTGACGAGGGAACAATCATACATGGTAGGTTTGTAAAAATTTTAAATATGATATAATAAGAAGGATTTAAAATTGATATTTGGGAGAAACTGTCTTAAATTTTAGATTTAGAAAAATGGACTAATATTTGGATTCAACTGGAAAAACGATTTTATTATTTTCTGTAGTTTTATAATAAATTTATATATGATTTTTTATTTTATTTTGAAGATTAGGTTGTAGGTTTGATTTTAATCTTCACGTTGAATTTGCATAAACATATTTACATAGTTTATTAACTTTTGAAGGGTATTGTCATACAATTTAGAATTATAAAATTTATAAATATAATCTAATTAAAAGATTCTAAAATTAAAAAAAAAAAGTAAATTTGATATAATAAAAAAGTTTTAAAATTGAAATTTGACATAGGACTGCATTGTAGACCGTTCATTTTAATGTTAATATTTTAAAATTTTCTTTTGTTGTTGTTTTATATAATTAAAATTAGAGAACCGAATATACGATTTATTATAAATATACTTAAAGTTAGTGTATATTATTAACCTATATTTATGATTATGTGAATATTAACTAATTAAATAATAAATTTAAATTGTATAAATGATATTTTAATAGATATATAATGTAAATGTGATAACCCGTATTGTTTTACTAGTTATAGTATAGTATTAGAATAATTTGATAACTTCCAATTACACGCCAAAAATAGTCCCTTTTCATATTTTCCCACTTACACGGCTTATCGATATCAACACTAGTCTAAATTTTAGCTAATTAAAGTATATTTTAAAATTTAAATCAATCAATTAATAAGAATAATATTCAAGGTGTAAAGAAATTTTACATCTATTAATTTATTTTAAATATTTATTTTTTATTTATTTTTATTTAAATAACATATTTAAATAATTATAATACATTGATTATGTAAAAATATTTATTTACACGACGATGTATATAAATTAATCTTAATTAAACAAATAGAATGGATATTTTAGTTAGATTAGGCCGATTGTATAAATTATTATTTCATTTTCATATATCTCACAATAATTGATATATTTGATCATTTCATATAATAAAAATTTATTATAATTAAATTTGTAATATGATTTTGAAAATTTATATTTGATAAAATTAATATGTTTATTATTTTTATTATAAAAATAATAATTTAAATAATACATATAAAATTATTAAAAATAGTAAATAAAATAATTTTGTTGAGATTTTATTAAAAAGTGATTGTTATTTTGGGTTGGATGGAGTAAATAATGGTGTATGGTTATAGAATAGTGAAGTGAAAAGAAGAAGAAAAAAAAAAGGAAATAAGATAAAAGAGGATTGTTAAAAAGAAAAGAAAAAGAGTTTTTATGAGTAGTAAGTGAAGGATGAAACGGCACACCGTACGGGTGTTCAATGATAGTTAGTTACCATTTTTCCCTCCATGACTTTCTTTGTCTATAAAAAACCTTCTAATTCTTCACATTTTCATTCAGGTTTTAACCAATAATCCTCTGAACTAAGGAAAGATATTTCCCTCTCTCCTTTCTTTCTTTCCTTTTACATTTTGGAATTTCAAATTTTCAAAAGATCCCTCACCTAACCGGAGAGAAATGGACGTTCACCAGCGAAGCCTGAAAACCGTCGATGATTCAGCTCTCTCCGGCAAAACTTCCAAAACTAAAAACCTAAAACACGATTCACAGTCACAACCTTCACTCTACTTGACTAACGCTGTTTTCTTCGGTCTCTTCTTCTCTGTTGCGTACTTTCTTCTTCACAGGTGGCGTGAGAAAATCCGAACCTCTACTCCTCTACACGTCCTCACAATCTCCGAGATTGTAGCTGTACTTTCCCTCGTAGCTTCATTTTTCTATCTTATGGTTTTCTTCGGTATTGGCTTCATCCTTCATCCATTTGCCGCGTTTCGTGCCGTTCAGTATGATGAAGAAGATGCAGCAGAGATTGATAAAACCTCCGGTTCATGCCTTGCTGAAGTATCACCCAAGTTACCTCCGCTACCGCCGAATATTGGCGCTAATAAAGTTGCTCCGGCGCCGGTGCTGATTTCGTCCGATGACGAGGAAGTTGTCCAGGCTGTCGTTTCAGGATCTATTCCGTCTTACTCACTTGAATCCAAACTCGGAGATTGCCGGCGTGCGGCGGCGATTCGTAACCAAGCGGTGGAGAGAGTTACCGGAAGGTCACTTGAGGGTCTACCGATGGAAAATTTTGACTACGATTCTATATTAGGACAGTGTTGCGAGATGCCGATAGGATTTGTTCAGATTCCTGTAGGAGTTGCCGGTCCTTTGTTGCTCGACGGAAAAGAGTTCACGGTCCCGATGGCAACCACTGAAGGCTGTTTGGTTGCAAGCACTAATAGAGGTTGTAAAGCTATTTATGTTTCCGGTGGTGCTACCGCCGTTGTCCTCCGTGATGGTATGACTAGAGCCCCCGTCGTTAGATTCAACTCCGCCATAAGAGCTTCTCAGTTAAAGTTCTTTTTAGAAGATCCTCAAAATTTTGATTCACTCGCCCATACTTTCAACAAGTAACTCTACTTTCTATTTTTAGTTTTAATTTCTTTTAATTTTATTAAAATATTCATAGACTTTTATTGCTTTAAGTAATTGATTTTATTTGGGATATTCAGGTCAAGTAGATTTGCGAGATTACAGAATATAAAATCTACTATGGCAGGAAAGAATTTATACATTAGATTTACGTGTTCAACCGGTGATGCGATGGGGATGAACATGGTATCAAAAGGTGTACAAAACGTGCTTGATTTTCTTCAAAGTGATTTTCCTGATATGGATGTTATTGGAATATCAGGTAAATATTACATCACGTCAACAACATTTGTTTATTTATGTGATTATCCTAATTTTATTTATAATACGGTCAAACTTGTTACTAAAATTGTGACGTAATGTCTTTTGGTTACGTTAGGAAATTTTTGTTCGGACAAGAAAGCAGCTGCAGTAAATTGGATTGAAGGGAGAGGAAAATCTGTGGTGTGTGAGGCTGTAATTAAGGAAGAGGTGGTGAAGAAAGTTTTGAAGACTAGTGTTGAGTCTTTGGTTGAGCTTAACATGCTAAAGAATCTAACTGGTTCAGCCCTGGCTGGTGCTCTTGGTGGATTCAATGCACATGCTAGTAATATTGTATCTGCTATTTACTTGGCTACAGGGCAAGATCCAGCTCAGAATGTTGAGAGTTCTCATTGTATGACCATGATGGAAGCTGTGAATGATGGGAAAGACCTTCATGTCTCTGTCACTATGCCTTCCATTGAGGTATAATTACTTGTTTTCAAGTAATTCCTAGTAGTAAGAGTCTTGATGTATTTTGATGATGCAGGTGGGAACAGTTGGAGGGGGCACACAGCTTGCATCACAATCAGCTTGTTTGAATTTACTTGGTGTGAAGGGTGCTAGTAAAGAATCACCAGGAGCAAATTCAAGGCAATTGGCAACAATAGTAGCTGCTTCAGTGCTTGCCGGAGAGCTTTCACTCATGTCCGCAATTGCAGCCGGTCAGCTTGTCAAGAGTCACATGAAATACAACAGATCTACTAAAGATGTCACCAAAATTGCATCATGACCTGGCCAAAATGACAATACCTTCACAACTGTGAAATAAATAATAAACTTGCAGTTGCATGCATGATCAAGAATAATAATGAAAGAAAAAGAAATTTCAGTGTAGGAGTATAAATTTTTTTTAAGAGGGTATTAATTGGTGGTGGTTGGGACATTGCCTGAAGTTGTACAGGAGGAATTAAATTAGATTTAGTTTGATTCCTCTTTTTTTCCCCAAAAAGAAGAAATGGAAAAAAAATAGTGCTGTGGTATGTCTCAAGTCACCTATTTTAGTCTCTGTTTTTACTTGTATTCCAAATTGTGTTATAATCTTAGTAATTTTAAAATTTTAATTGTAATAAATACTTAGAGAGATTATTGGTAAAATATTAATAATTATTGAACTTTAAAAACATCGAGTAAATAGAAAGACATTTTTTTTATTATAAAAACATCAAGTGCAAAAATAGAGGAAGTAATTTGTATTTTAAAATGCCAAACATATATTTTAATTAATTTTAATGGGATGTTTGAAAATAAACAAGAGAAGGAGAATGGAGATAAGCCATGGAAGCTAATTTGTGGGTGCAATGTTTTCTTTTTCTACATGTATGTGAGGTATGAAATGGTGGAAATCTATCAAATATTAGGATGAATTTCTACTTTAAGGATAATAAATTATGAGAAAAATAAGAAAAGAAATAAGATAATTATTTTGACTTGATTACAAAATAGGGGTTACTCCTTCTATCTATAGATTTAACTTGCATCCTAAGACCAAAACTATAAAAACCTAAAATACATATTTTAGTACTAAATCAAATCTATTCAGTTTTAGATCTAAATCAAATTTTATTTAAATCTAAAACAAATTTAATTTCTTTCGACACATTCGAATTACAATTTAACATGAAAATTCATTGATCTAATCTTGACTAAAGTATTCATCCATTTGATTCTAAGATCCCAAGGCACAACATTGGTGTTATGAACAACAAAAAAGAGAATAGTAGAATCTATTTCAAGCCATAAACGATTCCAACCAAATAGAGCAGCAACATGAATGGCTCTAATGAAACCATACAACTCTGCATGAAGAGATGTGAATCCCTCCACCAAATCAGAAAAATCAAACAAAAAGTCACCCAAAGCATCTCTAAATAATATACCACTAGAGGCCAAGGAATTGGAGAGAGAACTATCGGTATTGCATTTGATCCAACTCTTAACTGGTGTCAGCCACATAACTTCAACGATTTTAGAAGCTTTTCTAAGATGCAAATTGAGATTGATGCTTTTCATGATTGAAAAGTCCGGCACAGAGTAGTTTGCAGCTTTGTTTGTTATGTTGCCAATGAACTCCACTTCAGTTTGCACTACATTTGGCTCTATACTCATTATAAGTAAAACTTTGCAAAATCACATATATAAATAAAAATATTGAATAATTTAATCTATGCAATGTGAATAAAAAATCGAGTATATTTTATTAAATTACATTTTACCCATAAAATAATTAATTGAAAATATAAAATTAAATTAAATTAAAAGTATTTTAAAAATGTTATTTAATAGGAGAGTTTGTCCCGTTAAGCAACTAAGTTGATAGTTGCAAGAACTTCAAGAACTTTTGATTTGAGAGGGTGTATGTAGAACTCAAATTTTTTCACTTATTTTTAAAGGTTTCAATTTTAGTTACTAAATTAATAGACGAGTAAAAGGATAGCTAAGCAATAGGGCGTAAGCAGAATAGACAAAATCAAACAAATAAAAAATTTAAAACAAATTAAATCGGAAAAAACTAATCTATTTATGTTTTGTAAAAATATTGAATCAAACTAATCAAAATTGAATTTGCTCACTTCGATTCTCGGTTTTCATTTTTAGGAACTATGAAGTGATAAAGCAAATTGATGTGTATAATCATCTCACGTTTATAGTCTATAAATAGTTTGTTCAACATAACACATTTATTTCACTTCGGTTTTTTGTGAAAACAAATATAATTAGGAATATGATTTTGATGAAAACAAATGAAGATCAAAAGAAGGATAAAGATCTCGATCAAAGTTCAAGAAAAAGATCTGCAAACTCTAAAATAATTTGGAATTCAAATGGAAATGATCATTAAATAAGGTATACAATATCAATTCACATTGTATAAAACTTTAGGTAATAAAAAATCCTGACTCAATACACGTGATATCAAACAGTGAAAAACTCTCATCATAATAATGCCAACTTAAGGCAACAACTTCGCTCGCCAATACATACCCTCGCTCGCTAATACATGTCTTCACTTCATGAATGCATGAGACACTGTCGTGCAACAACATAATTTACATTGATTATTCTTACTCATCAATGTCACGCCAATACAGGTCATCATTATTATCATCATTATCATACATTACACAATCAAAATGCAACAACATAATTTCACATTGATTATTCGTACCTATCAATGTCACGCCAATACAGGTCATTGTCATCATCGCCATCATGCAATATATCGTGCAAACAATCAAACTATTCATAAAACATCATCTTAATTAATCACAACATAAACCATCACACATTACTCAGGAATATACACAAATAGGCACCAATGTTGATAAAATAATTAGCTACCGTATTCCAACTTACTTTTATAGGATAGAAAATGATTTTAGATTTCTAACGGTCCAAACGACGCGTCAAGCGGACACCCGAGGTGAAAGTTATGGAGTTTTCAATTTTATAAAATTCTATCTAACACATTGGTAACCGGTTACTGCATTACGGTAGCCGTTACTGTGCAAGTCAATAGCTCTGTTTTACAAAAATCTGCCAGCGGTAACCGATTACTACATTATGGTAATCAGTTACTGCATAATACAATAGTCTCTTTTCTTCAAATTTTCACGTGGTAGCCAATTACCAGCAGATCAGTAACCGGTTACCACTGTTGCATAATAGAAAAATCTGCAACTTTTTCAAATGCGATTTTTAACATTTCAACACCAAAATTTCCAATTTTTCTCATCAAAATTTATCTTTCAATCATGCTAATTATTCACCAACACCTATCTATCGATTCTAACCAAAACACATCATCAATTTCACAATCAGTTATGCAAAAATGCATCAAAACTCAATAAAGGGAGAAAAAACCCCAAGAACACCAATTAGGGAAAATCAAAACATACAATCATGAAACCTCTACCATACCCCATCATTAGGAAACACCTTATAGTGTTAGAATCCCCCTTTATCGCGGTTCTTGATTCCTACGGTGAATCTTCATTCCCTAGCTTCCTAGTACTTTCTCCTTTTCTCACTTCTACACTTCTCTTTCTCTTGTTTCTACGATTTAACTCTTTTCCCTTACTCTTTTTCTAATATATCACAATAATAATATAACCTTCTTAATTAATTATTTAATAAAATAATACTAATCCTATTATTATATTAATAATTCTATTAATAATTCTATTTTAATTATTATAAAATAGTAGTAAACTTCATATTTAACACAAAAATGCCAATTATCACTCTCACCCTTATGTTTCTACACTTTTAGCTATACACCCCTATCACCTCAACTTATATACTTCCTAACATCTAACTACTAAAAAATGCATCACATTATAATATTCACCAATTCATACAAATACATCACATCATCTAATTATTTAATTAAAACAATTCTAATTAAATCAGGGTGTTCCAACTCTCCCCCACTTAGAATATTTTTGTCCTCGAAAATCCACTTGATACTAACAACTTCAGATACGACTCTCACATCCTTCCTTCCAACTTCCACGTCATGTTTTACATCATTTCAAGTATTACTAACCAACATCTCACCTAGTCAACCACCATGATCCCACAAAATTTCTTGCTATCGAATTATGAATGCACCGGTTCGTCTCACTCCTCGTCACATCATCCTAGGATACATAATCTATCACTTCATTACACGGAAATACTGTCGTAAGCACATAAACTTAATCATAATATCAACAATGATGACACATACCAGTACCATAATGCTATGTCTCATTAATCAAATATGCAAATCAATACATTCTAGTGACATGCCAGCAACACAAATAATATACAACCCTTCACATGTTACTTCCATTCTAGAATGTCCACTGATTTGTATCATTCCCTCAGGCCTTCGATGTTTAAACCTTAACTCCTAACAGTCATATACACATAACAACCGCGCCATATCACGCTTCAGTTGCACCGCTCTAATTCATCCACTTTAAAGTCACTGTCCTCATTTTGATTTCCATCCACTACCAGATCTACAAGTTTCACATCTATCTCCAGACTCTCTTTAGTAATTACCCAAAAATCATTGTTCACTTTTGACATCCTCAACCTTCCACCCTACGGCGTTAGCTCGCATAGCAACTAAAGTCTCTGAACTGCTTAATAAATTCCCACTCTTTCATAGCCATTTCCATTAGATTCACGCAAATTGGCGAACGACTATCCTTTTGATAGGACATCAATCACTTTACTCACTATCAAGCTAGCAAGACAAATCTATCTCATCTAATATGGTCTCCTCTACTATCAACAAGAGATTAAGGATGATCAGTTCCTCAATTTTCCAATAGATAGTCGACAACCATAATGGTGGCATAAATCATTGTTACTTATCTATAATAGCACCCTTCATCTTGAGCTCAAAGTTACCTGAGCATAATGTCCAACAATCTCTCCAAGGCTTACAAATGTTTTTCTTAATTTCCTTCTTTTCAACCTCGTCAATGATACATAAAAGCCAAACATCCATTTCATAGCCTCCTTTACACGCGTGCAGCATAACACAATTGTTAAGTATATTCTAATACAAGAAACTACTACACCAATTATAATCCAAATTGTTTCGTTCCAAAGGAAGTCTTTATCCAGTTAGAAGACTTTGACCACATCAATAAATCCTTACTCTTTCCTTTAATCTCACATTTGGATCTCATCTTACTCACAATCTCAACAATACCATTTCTTCATATGGTTAGT